AGAGAGAGAGAGAGAGAGAGAGAGAGAGAGAGAGAGAGAGAGAGAGAGAAAGAGCCAGAAGAAAGAGTGACGCAAAGCAACAAAATCGAACCAAACAGAACAGGCGAGCGAGAGGAAATCAGCGAAAAGAACATAAAACAAATCAGCCAATGAATAGTGGCAAAAGACAGGAATGCGATCCATAGCCAAATAAGAGAGACAGGCTCATGTGCAGCTATTGCCATAATAAAGAAAAAAAAATAATTAAAACATGTGCACTCATAAAATTATGCACCAACATACGTAATTTTTAGTGCTTCACTCGGTCGATGCGTTTTTTTTCCTTCTTCTTCTTTCTCGCTCTCTTTGCTCGGTTTTTAATTCAGATCTAATGCATTAAAAATTAACTACATTAAATCAAGTACACATACTTGGTGTTTTTGAAGAAAAAAAATGTTCTTCTCTTTTTTTTTGCCAACGACTCTTCGGCCCATTCCGTTTCGTTCGATGTGTCTTTGCAAATTTTATTTCGCATTTGATACGATTCTCTCTCTGTTTGGTTTTTTTTTCGTCGTCATCGTCGTCGTTGTCGTTCTTCCTTAATTTACGAATTTCGTTTTGATGTGCTCAGTTCGTATTCGCTCTTTTTTTAGTGATTCTTTTCGTTTTGTGGCATTTTTCGGTTTATTTCCTTTATGCCATTCGGTGCTTCTCGGCTTCTCGACTGCTTCACAAATTAGTAGCAAACATATAAAAAATTACAACATTGGCACTTGGCGTTGGTGCTGTATGACTGAGAGGTATACATACATATTTGGGCGAATGTAATTCGCATGAAGTTTCCCATCAAAACACAAACACAGCTCCGACTCATTTGGTTTTTCAGAGCATGGAGAAAACCGGCGAAAAAAGCAACAACAGTAGCAGCAAAAACAACGATGACGACGACAGCGACAGCGACAACGTCGAAGGTGAAGAGAGAGAGAGCATGACAAACATTATTGTTTGTTGCAAAGTGCCCCGTAATTTAGTAAGCATTTCATTTGTTTGCTAAGGACTTTATATTCTGTGAACGAACGAACGAATGAACGTCCGTCCACTGTGCATCATTTCATCGCTTTTCCATTTTCGATTGTGGGTTTTTTTTTGTGTTCGTTCATTTGTTCTTTTGCATTTCCAGCGCATTGAATTTGTTTTGTTGTTTTGTATTTATACGTTTTTTCCCCGTCTCTTTTTCGTGTGTGCTATGCTGCTACATTTGTGTTGTACATCATTTCGATTCGTACTAAATGTTCGGCATCATAACATTGAATATTCTATAAATATTAATTTTATGTGTGACCACACATACTATATCAGATGTTGTATTTGGAAAGACACGGCGAACGGAAAATAAATGACGAAAAGACGAGAAATTTTGAAAAATCAAGAGAAAAGAATCGCATCAACGACAACCGCAACAGCAGAAGCACCAATCTTGCGATGGAGAATGGTGAATTGTATGCAGAATTTGGAATATTGTGAATACGTTTTCATTCTATTTGATGTGTGATCAGTATTGTCAAACTGCAACAAATTTATTTCTTTCCCTCAGAGAGAGATGGAGAGAGAGAGAGAGGGACGAAACGAAAGGAGTGAGAGAATGGAACATGCACCAAAAAGCAGTGAGAATCAATGAAGACAGCCCGGTAAAGGAGCCAAAATGATGAGCAACAGCAACGGAAAGAATTATGAAACAATGCCAATGCATGTGCAAGAAGAGGAAAATCAAAATGAATCACGGATCACGGGAGAGAATGCATAAAAATCCACACAAATGCACAATATCAGGCGAGTGAGAGTGAGATAAGGCAGGGCCCATATTCTATATGCTGTCCATCCCGTGTACCGGAATGCCGGTGAGGTATATGTGTGCACACAAGCCACACACAAAAAAAAAGCTTTATGGTGATTTGGTTTTAAACATTCATACGTTTTGCGCTAAATCAAGTCGTTGCTCGTCATTGCTCGTGCTAAAGTGCACTTATATCACCATGAAGAAAAATACACACAAAAAAATACGATAAAAAAAGTACACACATAAAAGAAAAAAGAAACGAAGCGCACTGGAGAAGAAGAAGCAAAAAAAAAGAACTGCCATAGAGGAGAGAAAGAAGTTGTTGCGAGAAAGCTAAGACAAAACGAGAAGAAGTGAAAACTGCATGAAGCCCAACCTGAATTTCGCCTTTTGCTGCACAAACTCACACACACATACACACTTAGTGCGCATACATCATATTTGTATAACCCGAAGGAAATCTTTCAAGCAAACTCCACTTTTGATTTTTATTTTATTCAATTTTGTTTCTCCCCATTTATTTTATTGTAATCCTTTGGCACTCGCTTCGGATACCTTGTTTGCCACAATATGTCATGCAATAGGTTTTGTACTCTCTTGCACCAACGCTCGAAGGAGTGAATTATTAAAACCGTTTTGGCCGCTGATGCTACTATTGACGCGAACCATCGTCGAAGGTACACAAATGGGAAGGAAGTTCTTCTGGAAAAACCATCACCATTTCAATAAGTCCTACAAGCGAAAGTGTGCATTACACACATACACATCATTTTCAGCGCAGAAAATTGTCTAAAATGCTGCTGCTGCAACAAAGAAAAATCGCAACGGAATGGTGAGAAGGAAAAAAAACTAACAACTAATGCCGAAAACGATTTCGTTATTTTCAATGCTCGCGCGCTTAATGTATAACATACGTATTGTGTGATACCCGTTCGGAATAATAAGAAATGAGAAACAACCACGATGACGAAGAATAGAAATCAAAGCATCGAACGAAAAAAAAAAATGAAACAACGTTCTATTATTCTCTTTCGATTGTCACTGTCACCGTCGTACAATTCGTATTGCATTATTTTTTGCACGGTTTACACGAAATTGTTTGTTAAGCATCAACCTCTTTGTGTGTTTGTGGATGCTTGACTGCAGCACACATTCTATTTACGAGCAAATAAATTATAGCAGCGCACACTATACACGTAAACACAAATCAACTTACTCAAATATCGGGGCGTGAAAGAAACGAAAAAAAAACGGGCTGCATTTTATCATCGAGCAATGACATCGACATCTTATCGTCTCAACCATTATCAGTGAACCGATTTTTCGAATACAGTAGCTGCTTATTGAATATTTATAACGGGTCATATGCGGTGTTTTATCCTTTTTCTTTTCCATCGCGTGGATTTGTTAACGCGTTCTTTGACCAAACGAATTTTATGATACAGGCGAAGCAATGAATCCAAAAATAATCAATGCATGATACCAAAAATGCTCACTCAACACTAATAAAGTAGTTTTTTTTTGACTGGCATGGTCGACACAAACTCAAATTAATTGTAAAATTCCACGCGTTTTGATCGATTCACCAAATTCATTGTCATTTATAAGCCTTCATGGAAATCGTTTTTCTTCTCCCACCACCAAAATACCGAAATGTTCATTTAATCAGAAGCCGATTAGTTGATTAATTGTGGTTTCGATATGAAGAGAGAGAGAGAGAGAGCGAGAGAATGTCCCCCTCTTCCGGTTTCTTTGCATTTCTTGATGTTCGCGAGCACATTGTGCCAATGCATTTTGGTTTCCGTTTGCCAAAGAGCGCTCAACGATAGTGCGATGCGCATCGCTTACAGACAGTCGATTGCAATTCCTTTCAATTAGGTGTTACCGTTAACAAACAACAGAGGTACGGGACTCGCCATACCAAATGTAGAGCTGTATAGAAATTCATTTGCAAGCAGCGCGATAATGTGCAATTATAATATGTATCTATAATTATGTCGAATGGAGTTTTGTGCATGCCCCGTACACTTCACGCTCGTTGTCGTTTATCGTGTGCTTGAGAGGCCAAAAGACGGAAAAGAAAGAACGACGAGGATGGCAAGGCGAAGTGGTGTTGGAAGAAGGAAAGAAGCGCAAAAACTTTGAAATGTCAATGCATGGGTGCATTTTATTTCTCTTTTGTGTATATGACTTGTAACAGTGCATCGCGCGTTTCCATTAAACTCGTACAGTCGCCACTTTCCGCTCGACAATCCAAACTCAAAAACCATATGATATTGGCCATCCATTCGGTGTGTGTGGCTGTGTATCAGAAGAGTAAGTATGGGTGCAGCACGGTACAAAATTTAAACACAACAGCGATAACAGCAGCAGCAGCAGCAGCAGCAGCAGCAGAAGTAATAACAAAACACACGTCGCAAGCTGCTCAACAGCCAACTCTTGCGCTCCGCGCTATTACCTCCGCCATCTCTGCCACTAACTAGCTTTTTCTTCCAATTCTAATGACTCTGAATGTGCAAGTCTTTCGGTGCAGCATAGCACATATATTCATATTGCGATTGGATGGCCGCGCTTCGAATGCATGGTGACAACGGGTACGATGTACAGCGTTCGTTCGTTCATTCCTTCCTTCGTACATTCAACGCTCTTGCTCTCTTGTTCCCTATATGTGTATGCAGAGAGCCGCGCGTTGCGGTGCTTATATGCAGACAAGAGCAGGCACACACAGAGCGATTCAATTGGATTCATGAAACACGAGAAAGACATGTGAGAGCATGAACGAAGAGTAAGAGCTAGAACGGCCGCGACCAGTTTACGCTTGTTGTCTGTTTCTTTGGTTTGCTTAGCCTGTTTTGCCTTTTAATCCATCTGGTGCTGACGTTGCTGCTATATGTTCTCGCTCTGCTCGCTTGTTAGTGCTGTTGTGTGGTGTGGTGTTGTGTGATATTATGTTGTGTGTCGGTGTTTTATTTTATTTTTTTTAAATTCTCTTCTCATTTGGGTATCATAGCCATTCGAGCTTGTTTCGAACTTTAGTTTGCGATCTTCATTGGAGAGGATCGCTTCGGTATTCTGTGTATCGTTTTGTTTCTTTCTTTTTTCCGATATATTCACATCGTGTGTATGCATCATCGTTGTTGAGTGAAGAAAGAATATACGTATATTCGACGACCGCGAGATTTTATTTTTGTTCCGTTTTTTTTTGGTTCGTTGTATGTTTATATGTGAACAAATTGCATTGCATCGAAAATTGTTCGTTTGTTCGTTTGTTCGTTTTGCATTTCGTTTCGTATAATTTAAATTTCGGTTAAGATTGACTAGAAAACGATTGGAGAGCGAGTGAAAGAGAGCGCGCACCACTATTTAACTGACGACAAAACAAAGCCAAAGAAATCAATTGGTATGTTATCGGTTCGGAATTTGTGTGCATAGTGGTCTTCATCGATAGAGCTGTTTATTTGCAAATGAACGAATTAACAATCGTGAAATAACATGCGACCACACACTTTGTGAACAATTTTTTTTTTCTCGCTACATAATTTTTTTTCCCCGTTGCGCTCGCTCTCAAAATACACACAACAAGAGTTTGGCGAATCATTTGCAAGCTCACCACAAATGACTCTTTGACCGAGACGAAAATGATACGATTTCAGCATATATAATCTAATATGAATAGAATTTTTATGAAATACAAACCGACTGAAAAGGAAACACAACGAGATATAAGAAAAAAAAACCAAACAAAACAAAACGAATCAAATAAAGAAAAAGTTTCTATGAAGTGTGTTTTAAACCGAGATATAAAAAAAAGTTGTGCAGTGTAATTAGGAGATGAAGCAGTACGAGTGGCTCAACGACAATAAACTGCAACATAAACTATTTTGATTTGGTTAAATGACTTTTTGTTTACAAACATCAACAGTGAACGCGCATTCATACCGTTTAGGTAGGTGTTTAAAGGCAAATCTGTGGTTTTCCGGTTTCAAAGCCAAATCCATTTTTAACCCGAGAGAATGATGTTTGTGAAAACAAACACGCGCGTTTCTAACCGACCAGCACACAAAGAGTGTGTGTGTGAGAGAGAGAGAGAGAGAGAGAGAGAGAGAGAGAGCGATTGTGTGCAGAAAAAAAAGTGCATCCGAAGCTGGCTCAAAAGTCAATAGACGAAAGAGTGTGTGTATGTGGAATCTTTATGCATTTTGAAATGTGTGTCTCGAATGTGAGCGGCCGACGCATTTCGATTTCAGATCAATAGCGATTGCCGTACAATTTCGATTCCGTATTATCTCTTGGAATCAATGGTACATGAGAGTAGCATTCAATGTGAAAACTGGAATCGATAAACCGTTCCTGGCACCGTTCCGCCAAATGATATTTGCGACGAACCAAACCAAAAATAAAAAGCATTTGTAAATGCCGAATTTCAAATAACACCTACTACACGACTATCATATAGCGTTCCATGGAAATTGAGTTAGGTTTCGAGCTATTAGTTGTGAGTGTGGCGATAAAATGAAATCAGCTGCGCAGAACCGACGCAGTGAACAAGGAGATCAGAAAAGAAACACTGATGCATAAGCGCCTCGACAAAATCTTTGGCCAAAGCTGCAAAACGGATAAAATATGATAAGCATTTGGTTGAATGAAAGCAAAAAAAAGAGATACAAACACACAATGTCGACAGCGAAACTATCGCATCAAAGTGGATAAAAAGGTAGAAGAGAGAGAGAGAGAGAGAGAGAGAGAGAGAGAGAAAAAGAAGAGGAATGGAAAAAAGGTGAAATAAAAATAAATAAAATAAAGCTACAACAAAGCGGGCAAACAATCAAACATAACACGTATAATATTCACAGAGCGAAAAATGTGAGTTAGAACAGTGCTGCAAAATAAAAAAAAAGAAACATTAACCGCGTTCGCATTGTGCAAGTCAAATCGCATCGCCGAGCAAGAGAGCGTTTGAGCACGCCAAAAGATCTGTTGGCATCAACCCGCGAATGGATGCTCGCATAATGAACACAACAATTTCAATGTTATGCTTTAGCTCGTAGCCGTTGCCTTTGTTGTTGCTGTTGCTCTTTTCATTTCTTGTACTGCTTCTACTACACATAATATCTATTGAATGCGGGTTACTTTTGTGCACCGTTTTTACCGTTTATTTTTTGGCTCTTCCTTCCCTATCTTTCAGTTTTCTTCATCGGAATTCTCTCTTTTTATTTTCGCTTATTAGTCTTTTGTTTAACTCTCCTAGTTACCGATACGTGATAGTTTGTTTATAAACATTTCTTCTGGTTGTCGGCATTTTAGCAGCCCGTTGTTCACAAGGCACAAACGTTGCATTTTTAGCAAAGAGACTTATTGAGGAGTAACGCTCGCACACACACACACAAGCTCACACACCCATCTCGACGAACAATATCCAGATCCATTGCAAAAATCGAACCACACCGAGAGAGAGAGAGAAACAAAACTTTTTGTATCGTGTGTTGTTTTAAGCGTTATTCGCTTGCTCTGCAACCAATTTGCATCTAACGTGTAATATCATATCTCGTCGCGATTGAGTAGTACTTGCGTATGCGATGCTCGATTCTCGCAACTATTTCGCATAGCTCCTTGCTATGTGAATACAAAATCGTGCAATTTGTAACAAAACTTTCTTTCAAATTGAATTTAAGACTGGCGCATCTGAACCAAAACAACAGCCCAGACTGTAACAAACAGATTGTATTTGCGGTGCCGACAAAACAACGAACGTAGAGCGGGCGAATGGGAGAGCGAGAGACGAAAAACTGTTTCATATTTTCTCGAAGATGTCAGATAAAATCGACGATAATTAAGCCTATTTTTGTGATTCAAAGGAAACCATTCCGCAGACATGAGCATTAAATTAAGAGAGGCATTTTTCGCCGCGCAAAAAAAAATGCGGCGCAAGTGATAAAAGTGTTGAACTTCTAACGATAAAAAAAACGCGAGAAAAAAAACAGGCAAAAACGACAACCAACAAAAAAGAATACTCGACATGACTGCACAAGCTCATTACATTTGTGTCCTCCAAACTGAATGCAATTCACGGCATTTTTGTCTGGATTTCGAAATGAATTACACATGTTTTTCCGTGCCGCCGGAATTATAGCGCAACATAAATTATTGCTTAGACAAAAAAAATGCATGAAGAACGCAAACACCACACGGTGCACTGAGATTATGCACTAAAATTAAACGCTTGAATATATTGATTGCAATGCAAACGACAAAATTCACACACACACACACACACACACAGAGAGAGAG